AGGAAGGAAGGAAGGAAGGAAGGAAGGAAGGAAGGAAGGAAGGAAGGGAAAAGAAGTCTAGTCAAATAAGAGATCATTACAAAATTCCAATGTCATTTTTCACAGACCTAAACAAAAAACCCAAAGTTTACATGAAAATACAAACTATTACAGGCTGTTAAGCTCATTCTAAGTAGAAAGAATATAGCCAGCATCATCATATTGTATGGTCTCAATGTATGCTACAAAGCCATAGGGACAAAGAACCATGCATACATCAATGAAAGACAATCGAAGATCCAGAATTAAACCAACACAGCTATAGAAACCTTTAAGAGTTCTGACACCCTTGTCAAAAACATCCATTGAAGAAAAAGACAGTTTTTTGAATGAACAGTGCTGATAAAATTGGATAGTTCCTACAAAAGAATGAAATTAAATTGTTCATTCTACAAAATAAGCAATTCAAAGTGGACCAAAGACCATACATTTTCTTGACTAAGGAAACATAGAGAAAATACTTCAGATACAGATTTAGGTAAAAAAAATCTAAAGAAACTTCCAGTAGCACAGAAATTAGCTTTAAGAATTGAAAATGTAAATACTTTAAATTAAACTAATTCCACATAGGTATTACCAACAGACTGGAAAGGCAGACTATAGAATAGGAAAATATTTGCCAAATATACTTCAGATAAAATATTAATATCAGAAATATATAAAGAAATGGTTTAAAAATTTTGGAAGAAAATTAAATACACCTCAATAAATTAAAACTGCCTGTGAATTTCTCTCTCTCTCTCTCTCTCTCTCTCTCTCTCTCTCTCTCTCTCTCTCTCTCTCTCTCTCTCTCTTAAAACAAAGCTATTGCAGAATCTTTGACCACATTGTGAACCCAGCATTGTAAACTGTTTCTAATTATGGTATGGCTCTGCCATTGACACTAAAACTTTCTGTGTTCTGTAAACAAGTACTTGTGGTATGGCTTAGCCCTAGCACACATCTTTAATCCAAGAGCTAAACAAAGTCAAGTCTAGGTCAAGAGGTGGAGCAAGCAACCAGTTGACATGGAGTGGATGGAAGTGAACCGAAAGTGAGGCTTTCAGTTGAAAGCTATTTAAGATAGCACAGAGAAGGAGGAAAAGCTTCTTCCTTCTGGGATTTTGGTGGAGGTGTTTCTTCTGGGAAAGTCAGTGCAGTAGGAAAGTCAGCTGGGTTTTTCTTTTCCTCTCTGAGCTAGGTGACTTTAACCACAGAATCTGGCTCCTATGTCTTCATTAAGTAAAATCTAAGGGATGGAATTTGTGTTTTTAAAACAACATAACACAAAACTAAACCTAAAAAAAAAATTTAAAAAGGAAAAAGAAAGAAACCCCAACCACATTAACAAACTGTCACACAAACAAATCCATGGAAGGACACAAAACCAGGCCCCAAGCCTAGGAGTAGGTGGCCAACATAAGATAAAACAGCATTTCTGTGAGCTTTTTGTTTCATTTTGCTTTATATGGATATATCTGTGTTTATTACAACTTTAAAAAAATAATAGTAAGAAAATGGAATCTGGCTAGGTATCTACCAAGAGGCAACTTGATAATGAAAACTCAGTATATATGAAATGTAGGTTTTAAATTTTTGCCTTGATAAAGAAAATGACGTTTTCAGGACAGTGCTTGTAATTGGAAAATATTACATTAAATAAATTGACCCTGGCCTAGGAAGACAAATGTTACAAGTTGTCTCTCCTACGCATATCCCTATATTTAAATGGGAGTAACCACGGGTGGAAGCCAGGAACATGGAAAGGGATTTGTGAGACAGAATAGTGTCTTTCAGGAAGTAGTAGAGGAAGGCTGCAGAATATATACAGGCTGGATGAGATGTGAGACAGGAGGGTGAGGAGGAGGGACTGAGACTGGAAAGGTACAGTGGGGGAAGGGAAGCAGCAGAGTAGGAAGAGGCAGAAAAGGAGCAGAAAGGGTCACATGCTCACACAACATGTGTGGTTTTCATGCCATTATTTACATTGTATTTGCATAGTATTTACATTGTGCTGTAAATTATAAATTGAAAACTGGAAACTTAAGTCATGTTCAAGAGAACTCTGGTTAATTTATAGCTATGCAAGATGCCACCTGCCAGGATGTCTGATTCAAAGAACAGGGGGTAAGTCTGGTAAAAAAGCTTTTCCTTTTGATACATTAGGTATTGGTTAAGATCACAAAAGGAACAAACTAAGTGTAGAAAAACTTCCACCGGGCATGATCTACTCATTAGTGTGTTTAGCAACAGTTTCTGTCCCAGAATACCAGAGGCGTTAAGTGTAGTTAGCCAGCAGTAATGGACTGAAGATCATCAAAATTTTAACAACAAAGGGGGGTGTGTGTGTGTGTGTATGCGTGTGTAGATATGTCTATATATGGAAAATGGAACATAATGGAATATAATGTTAAAACAGTGAAGCTTGATTTTTTTTTTTGCTTTAAATTTGTTTTAAAAAGCCAGATATGGTGATGCATGCCTTCAATCTCAGCACTTGGAAAGCAGAAGCAGGTAGATCTCTGTGAGTGTCAGGCTAGCCTGGTCTACATAGTGAATTCCTGGTCAGTCAGGGCTACATAATAAGACTATCAACATAAAGCAGATAAAAAAACGAGATAAAATTAAATTGGCTAAGCAATGAACAGACACAAGACAAATTCATACACAAAATACATACTGATTCTTGTGTTTACCATCAGCTGACTGGATTTTACTTCTCCATAGAGTTCAAGCTATGTATGATATCAGAGTACAGTCCCCTCTTCTATAGCAGTGCAAAGAAGCACAGATTATATATTAGGTGCTCGATAAAAATGTAGTAAATCAGTTCTTACGTAGGCCAGTTACAGTGACGGAAAACAACGCAGCCACAATTCTGAAGTGACAGTGTTTGGCGAGCCAGCAGTCATTTGCTTGAGTTATGACCACAAGCAATAGATTTAGAGTATTATGAAAATATATGCTGTGTTAAGTGCTGTGAATTATGCTGAATAATTCTGAACATAACTTTTACTGAACTAATGAATCAAGGTGGAGCTTTTCACATTCTCTAGAAACAGTGTGTGAAAAAAAAAGTGTATAGAAACTTGGATGCAGCTACATCCAGCATCGTTGGCGAGAGGATGATTGTCAAGCATGTTTGGTTCAATGGACAAGAAGCCTCCATTTGGCAGTTCAAGTACACTTCTAATTTGGTGAAGAGCCTAAAAACGTGATTTGGAAGAGTTAGTATGCTGTGTGGGGCCTGGGGTGCTATATAAAAAGAGTGTATAATCTGCCTTCACGAAAAGTTAGGGCAAATGTGGGGCTTCATGGGACGGAGTGGAGGGCAGCATCTATTGGCTGACCTTTCTCTTCTCCTAGGAATTAGGAAAATATGAAGGAGAATATCTTTTAAAAACAGAAATTTGTTCATCCTTTGTTAGTTTGGAAGAGGAGAAAAATAATATGTCCATGTACTAGTTGAAAAGAAGGTGCTAATCATAGATAATTTCACAAGAGAAAAATAAAAATAAGACAATAATAGAAATCATCTCCTAATATATTACCAAATGAAACAATACAGACATTTATACACACTGGCAAAACAGGCATGAACAAACATACACATTTGTATGCAACCAATTTTATCATTAAAAAGAAAGAAAACAAATGACATTATATTACTCCTTTATTTAAAAAGAAATGCATAGGATTTTTTTCTTCTATGCTATGGTTTGTCTTGTCACATTCTAATCCAGTTTTGCTGTCTGTGTCATTTGTCCCATGTGCAGGAGCCACAGCAGGGAATCCCAACTCTTCCTCTGTTACCCTGTACCACATTGCTTTGAGACAAGGTCTCTCATTGAATGGGGCGCTCACAGTTTAGGCAAGGCTGGCTAGCTAAGTAGTTATTGGTACGCTGCTTCTGCACCAGAATTCTGGGGTACCAGTTATATATGGCTGAGCCCAGCCATAAATATATGGCTATTTGTACTCAGCTCCTCCTGCGTACAGAGCAACACCCCAACCCCTAATATTCTAATATTTCCATTTGTTTTATCTGGTAAAAATTACTGTTTACCAGTCTACTACTGTAACTCTTAAAAATTCCATACCAGTTCTTTGAAATCCACCATTGTGGTCCTTTCACTGTAGTCCTCCAACAGACCTTACAAACCAGAGCCTCAGCTCTTGTTTTGTGGACCACCGAAACTTAGTAAAACTAAGAAGTAAATATTAACAATTCAAGTATATTTTAAAGCTGCTCATATAATGACTACCTAATGACAAGTGATAACCATTAAGGAAGTAATTTCTCCACTATTAAGGAAGTGGTTACCTTGGGTAGTATATGAGTGACCTTTGGAGATTTGTTCACTTTTCTCACTTTTGCCTTTTTCATTATATTTAAGTACTCATCCACAATCCTGGGTTGTGAAATTCATCAATAAGCTGCTAGTCTTTGTACATGCATTGTCACTGAACACCAGCT